GAAAGGCACCATTAATGCAGAGAACCATGTTCAGGTTCTAGAACAACATGTGCTCCCATCTAGACATCATCTCTTTCAGGGAAGACCCTGCATTTTTCAACACGATAATGCCAGACCACATTCTGCAGCAATCACAACATCATGGCTACGTAGGAGAAGGATCCGGGTACTGAAATGGCCAGCCTGCAGTCCAGATCTTTCACCTATAGAGAACATTTGGCGCATCATAAAGAGGAAGGTGCGACAAAGAAGGCCCAAGACAATTGAACAGTTAGAGGCCTGTATTAGACATGAATGGGAGAGCATTCCTATTTCTAAACTGGAGAAACTGGTCTCCTCTGTCCCCAGACGTCTGTTGAGTGTTGTAAGAAGAAGGGGGGATGCCACACAGTGGTAAAAATGGACTTTTGCCAACTTTTTTGGGATTTGTTGACGCCATGAAATTTGGAAACAACAGATTTTTCCCTTAAAATGATACATTCTCTCAGTTTAAACTTTTGATCTGTGATTTGTGTTCTATTCTGAATAAAATATTAGATGTTGGCACCTCCACATCATTGCATTCAGTTTTTATTCACAATTTGTTTAGTGTCCCAACTTTTTTGGAATCCGGTTTGTATTTTAGTCAGACAGAGACTCATGTTTCTTTCTCCAAATCAGATGCACAGTCGAGGGAAAGAAAAAAAACGCAAGTCCACCTTCTTCCAATTATAGGTTTTATGTGTCAAAAAACAGAAGAGTGCAGATTCCACCCTGTTCTTCTTAATGAAACTCGAAGCAAAAAGAAAAAGCTGTGAGTTAAAAACTTGCTGCGTTCACTTTAAGGAGTTCAGTGTTGACCAGATTAAATGCATTACTGTGTGTTAACACAACGCCCAGATGGAAAGACATCAGCAGTGATCGTCAGAGAAGCAACTGTTGCTGCACATCAACCTTGGAAGGGTCAAAGGTCATTCACATGCTATTTGAAGTCCATCTTTCTATACACAGTTGACAATTAGCAGCCTCAAATTCACCCTGAAGGTCAGACCGTGCAATGATCAAAGAAGTGAGCTCCGCTTCTCTTCAGACTCTACAGGTCTCAGGTAGCAGTGCAAAGGTTATGACAGGGCAGTCAAACGGGCTGAACAGGTGCATCTTATTTGGAGGAGTTGCAGGAAAATACGTCTTCTGTCGAACAACAATAAAAAAAAATAAAAAAACATATGGGAAAGTTTCTGCATTCGAAGAAAAACAAACACAGCAATTCCAGCACAAGGGTGGAGGGCTGATGACGTCATTTAACCGATTGTTAAGAAGAATGAGCCAAAATTCTTCCACAACTACATCAGGATCTTGAGAAAGAAACAGAATTCTGGCTGTTGAAGGTCTACAAGCTGATGTGCGCAGATCTTCCATTGTGGCTTTATTTTTGTCTAAAATAACGACTGTGAAATTTATTGGGCGTTCTTGTTCACTTAAGGCAGATTAGAATTATTTTAAAACCTGAAAAAGATCAGATTATTTTTTAATAAAACAAAAACAACGTAGAACTGAAAAGAGACAGACTTCTCAGCGGTCGAGTTTGTGCTACAGGGAAGAGAGAGGAACCCTCAAGATAACAAACCAGAAGAGCCAGTTCTAAAACCAAACCAGTAAATAAAGGAGACAAAGCCTGCTGTCAGCTGACTGTGCAGGTGAATCGCAGGGCGTGGAACTAAAACGATGCTCTTGAGCAAAGGTCTTAAAGCAGAAAGATGATAAGACAAACGAGTCCAATGGAAGCAACAACAGTAAATACTTCAGGGAATCGTTCTTTACGTTCAACCGTTGACACTGAATCATAAATAGTGAAACTGCAGACATGAGAGCAGCACCTTAAATCAGTGAGTTGAACTCTGAGACGCTCCTATTTAAAAACGATCATTTCTAAATAACGTATAGCTCTTAGTGAACGTGACAAAACGAAACGGGCGGCACCAGAACCCCCGTCAGAAATCAAACTGTTAGCACCGAGACAAGAACTAATTCATCAGATCAATCAGGTTTTAAATAAAGTAAAATAACAAACGTTGATGTGAAAATCAACCAAGTCAGCCAAAGTTCAGCTGTGACTCTCAGGCTTGGTAACTTTTATGTTTATTTATTCAATTCATTTATTATTTCTTTATTTACAAACATTTTAGCTTTTAGATATTAATTTGCTACTTTTAGGAGTTAGCTCTCATTCGACTACTTCTTGTATTTAGCTATTATTGGGCTACTTTTAGCTATTGTTCTGCTTTCAGAAACAGGAGTTTGACAGGAGTTTTTGTGTTTATGGTGGTAATAGTGCCTCTTTCCTGCGGGGTCCCGCAGGGCTCGATTCTTGGACCCCTTCTGTTTTCATTGTATCTGCTCCCTCTGGAGTTTATCCTGATGAAACTTGGTCTTTCGTTTCATTGTTATGCTGATGGTTGCCAGATTTATCTGCCCTTAAAACCAAATAGTTCATGCACAGTTCACCCTCTGTGAAAATGCTGATAACATTAAGGCGTGGATGACATCTAAATTTTTCAAGTTTCAACGATCAACAAACTGAAGTCACTGCGTTTAACCCTAGCTCTACTGCAGTCTCTGTTCCTGTAAACCTTGTCTCTCTTGAGCCATACTGCAGTCTGTTACAAATCTTGGGATGGTTTAATTTAGACTCTGACTTTAACTTTATTAAACAAATTAACTTTGTTCTACAAAAAACTGTTTCCAGTTAAGGCAGATAGCTATATGTGCTTCATGTTGGGGTCTGTCAGATCTCCCTTTCACGTCTCCAGCTCGTCTAAAATGCTGCAGCTCGGTTCTTAACAGGAACTTGTAGGTTTGATCATATTTCACCAGTTTTGTCCTCCCTTCACTGGCTCCCTGTACGTACCAGAATTGATTTTAAAATTCTCATGTTGACCTTTAAGTGCATTAATGGCCTTGCACTCTCATACCTCTCTGATCTGCTTCAACCTTATACTCCTTCTCGGGTGCTGAGATCATCTGACCAGCTGATTTTAGTTGAAGCTCAGAGGAGATGGGGCTTTTTCAGTCGTGGGCCCTAAACTCTGGAACAATCTGCCCCCCCACCATTAGACAAACCACTTCACTCCTTGTTTTTAAATTTCTACTAAAAACACACCTGTTTACAAGTTACCATTTAGTTTTTCTTAGGTCACTTTAGTTTTTAGCTACTTTTAGCTACATTTTTGTTGCTTTTAAATGACAATTTGACACTTTTAGCTCTTAGTTAACCTCCTGTTACCTTCGGTTTTTATCAAGACTTTTGCTGCTCTTAGCTTTTAACTATAATCAGCTTCTTTTGTCATAATCTGATCACAATTCTGAACTAAAGTTGATAAAAATAAAACATATCAACTTTAAGGAATAAAAAGTGATAAAAAAATAAACCAGCCCATTCAGTTTTGTTTTCACTCTGAATTTTATTATCTCAGATTTGAATAAGATCCCAAATAAACAGTAAATCATTCTGCTTTACACGTCAGGTAAAACTTTGGTTACTTTCCCCAGAAATAGAAACACGCGGAAGTGAAAGGCTACATAAGTTGATTACAGTCGAACTTCAGTGAATTTTTTGTAAAAGGAGGCAGGAAGGAGCTCATCAGGCTTCTTCTACTCAGAGTCACTGCTGCAGGAGCTGCTGGAGTTCTGCAGGAGGAACGGAGACAAAAGACAGCATTTGTTCAGGTTGTCTTGCATTAAAGTGAACGATACATTAAAAACACAAAATACTGCTGTAAAATCAGCCGAACCCATCTGCAGGTCCAAATCTTACCCTGTGACTTTCCCTCCCCTTCTTGTGGCATTTGGTGTGCTTGTGGCCCTGCTTGTGCTTGTGCTTCAGCTTGTGTCCGTGCTCTTTCCCACCACAAGGTCCATGACCATGACCATGTTCATGTCCACCATGACCATGTTCATGTCCACCATGCCCATGTTCGTGTCCACCATGCCCATGTCCATGCCCGTGTCCACCATGTCCATGCCCATGTCCATGTCCATGTCCACCTTGAGGAAATAGACAAAATAATCTCAAGCACAGGTAATGGACAGACTCAAAATTCCAACCTTCACCTCTGCTTTGAAAGAGAATAACCTTCACATCAATGTGAAGAAGACAAAGGAGATGATTGTGGACTTCAGAAGGAACAAAAACATCTACACCCCCCTGAACATAAGAGGATCTGCGGTGGAAGTGGTCTCCAGCTACAAGTACTTGGGTGTACACATGAATGACAACCTCAGCTGGAGCAACAACACCACCAGCCTGATCAAGAAAGCTCATCAGAGACTCTACTTCCTCAAACGGCTGAGGCGAGCTGATCTGGGAAGCTCAGTCCTCACCTCCTTCTACAGGTGTGCAGTGGAGAGCATCCTGTGCTCCAGCAACAACGTGTGGCATGGAGGCTGCACAGCTGCAGAAAGAAAAGCT